AATATGCTGGAAACAGCCAAGTAACAATGAATATGCTGGGAAACAGCCAAATCAGGATATCTTCAAGACCGCCTTTTACCGCATAACTTCCAATGACCGGTAAGATCCCACAGAGTTGGTCTCCTCCAGGTCTCGTCAGCTAAACAATGCCGGCTGGTGGGCCCGTGGGGGACGGCTTTCTCTGTGGCTGCCCCAGCTCTCTGGAACCAGTTACCTCCTGAGGTCCGGACCATCCCCACCCTATTGGCCTTCCAAAAAGTGGTGAAGACCTGGCTTTTCCAGCAGGCCTGGGGCCCAATGGCTCAACATCTCATTCTTGTGATCTGGCGAGATCCAGCCATGAATGGTGTGAATGAGTTTTTAATGTTTTTAATGTTTTTAATTTTTAAATGTTTTTTATAATGATTTTAAATGCATTGTGAGCCGCCCTGAGTCTTCGGAGAGGGGCGGTATACAAATTGAATAAATAAATAAATAAATAAATAAATAAATAAATAAATAAATAAATAAATAAATAAATAAATAATATGAATATGCTGGGAATCAGCCAAATAAAATGAATATTCTGGGAAACAGCCAAATAATATGAATATGCTGGGAAACAGCCAAAACAATAGTTTATGATGCTGGGAAACAGCCAAATAATAAATGGATATGCTGGAAAACAGCCAAAAGAAAATGATCAAGAGACAAATAGTTAAAATAAATATGACTTAAGATGGATTGTAATAATGAAATGAGTCTGTGTAAAACGAAGAGTGTAATGTGTGGTAAGTTTAAGAAAAATAGATATAAATTAAAAGAGATTACGATTTAAGGATTTATTGTAATGGGTCCTAGGATATGGGTATACAGATAGAATTTAGGGTAATAATTATAATTAAATATTGAGTTGTGTTATTTGGAAATTAAGATTTGTGGTGATATAATAGAAAGGTAAATGTTTAGATTAAGATATTACAATTGTGGTAAAAAAATTTGTTTTGGTTTTTATTTTAAAAGACGTAATGGTGGAGATTTGGAAAAGAGCTTGACAAAGAGGGGTAAGCGATTGTACCTATTCATGACCGGACCAAAGCTTCGTTCTTAAAAGATGTATTTTATGTTTATGTTTTAAGAAAAATAATAGGGGGCTTCCGGTTTGGCTTCCGTCGCCGCTAGACGGTCTTTTGGGACCGCCACCCCCGCCGCCCGTAAAGAGCCGCCTTTACAGCTGAGAGGCGGCTCGAAAAACTCCGTTTCCTTAAGGAAATGTGAGGTGAGCCGGCGAGAGCAGGTAGAGCCCTCTGCGAAGTCCCCAGAGTTTTTTTTTACTCTTGGGGAGGAAGCAGGATGTGGCTCCCTATCCAGCTCGCCGCTGCTCTGGGCTTTGGGAGAACTCTGCGCTTTGCAGAGCTAGGCGATGTGACCAACCTAATTAGCGAAAACTAATAGATCGCTTGAATAAGCAGGATGAAATCTGGATTTGGGACTCTAAATCGCAAGTATTTGTAACAATCCTATGATTGATTTTAAGAATGAAGAGAGAGTGAAAAGGGGAAAAAAGTTTAAAATGGCGGCTGGCTGAGGCTTGAGAAGAAAGCTGAAAGCGAAAGTCTTTCCGTTTGAATGGTTTAATATGTTACAAAGTATCTGAAGCAATAGCGCTGGCTACAAGAGAAGAGAAAAATTTCTGTTTCATGCTTCTTCCTTTCTTAGAGACTTGATATTGATATTGTGTGGAGAGAAGACCTTTTCTTTAAAAAGAGTCTGTTACAGTCCATACATCTTAAAATTACCAAGGTTGAAAAAACTGGCCAAAACTAGTCTTACTAAATTTTCCACTTCAAAATAGCAGAAAAAAGATTCTGAGTGTCTACTTCTTCTGGGCTTGCTAGTCGAATGTTGACAACCATACCATAAATCTCCATAAATCATATTCTTCTGTTTTTCTCTTCCTTGAAATTCATTTGAGAATAAATTGTCGTCTTTTATCCATGTAAGCTATGGCAGAATCTTGAAGGTCTGACCTTATTTATCCTTCCCTCTCTCTTCTACCGAAGAAGTCAATGTTTCATTTTTTTTCATTTTTCATTTTAAATTTCTATACCGCCCTTCTCCCTGAGGACTCAGGGTGGTGTACAGCCAAAATTAAAAAACATGCAGTAGAAATATTAGAAACAGTTAAAAACAAACCCAATTAAAACTCACTACCAATTAAAACATCTAAAATTTCTTCTTAAACCAGCCCGGCTTGCTTAAAAAAATGGGTTTTAAGGGCCTCTTGATTTCTTTCTCCTGTCTTATTTGCTGGGCTAAGTTTATGCTTGCCTAACAGTTGCTTCATACTTTCTTCAAGGCTATCTCTGCATTGCTTTACTGCTTTACAAGATGCTGGCATATTGTGGAGATATGAATGTGCCAGTAGCTGATTTGTTATTGCCAAAGTTAAGATAGTTAGGTGACAACAAACTCGCACAACCTGCTGGCAAGGCACAACGTATTGACATCATTGTTGGTGCTCCTGATGGCTTGAAGTTCTGGGAGATGGTGATGTAAAGTGCCTCAACATCCATGGTAGCTAAAATAGATTTAAAATAAATTTAATGTTAGAGAGATTGCCAATGAGATTCCACCTTCTTAGGAACTCAGTGGTGTGTGTCAAGTAACTGGAAATCTGGTGGCATAAAGTCTGAGTATAGAATTCTTGAAACCTAATAGTTGTGATACTTCTGATGCTTAAAGACAATGGGATGGCCTGGGTGGCCTGCAGGGGTGGTATTCACTTACCTTCGCTACTGGTTCACAAATTTGAGTGTACCTCCTCCTCCACGCATGCGCAGAGCCTTCTGTGCATGCACAGAAGGTCAAAAACGGGACATGATGGTGTCCAGGCAGATGGGCATAGCCTCCTGCCGCCGGTGCTACCAGATTGCACAATCCGCAGAGCCAGCTGAATTTCATCACTGGTGGCCTAGTATGTGTAGCGGGGGAAGTAGGGAGAAAATATTTTGTCATGGCCCTTGGCATATCTCCATTTAGATAGACTTACATCATTTGGAAATTTCATAGTTCCTTCTGATAACTGTGGGATTTCAGGATAGACGTTGGTAGAATATAGCACTAAGAGTTATTTTCTGGTTTCTTTGATATCATCAATGTTGTTCATAATGGCAATTGTTTTTATAAAGATATTACAAGATTTATCATTAGATTTAGATTACAAAATATTGCTTCCTAACTCAGCCAATTCAAACTTCAGTTTTCTTCTATCCTAATTCCAAAATTTCAGATTACTTTAAATAATATCTTGGAATTGATTTTTCACATCTTGGAAGAAGAAAAATATTCTCTTATACATCAATTTTCTTTTGAAGATTGTAGCTAAGTACTTGCATGCTTGAATGATGTGATAATAAATATAATTATTACTGTCGTTTATACAATATTATTACTTCTCAAATTTTGGTACAATGCTGAAAAATATGGCTTTTTAATGGACAAAGCTACTCCAGGGTTTCAATAGTGCCACTTAATCAAGCCTTCACATCTTCAAAAACAATTTGATTGCTCAGGGTGGTATGGACTAGGTGTTAGACTAGGATCAGGGACCAGGTTCAAGTCTACCTTCTGCCATAATGATCACAAGATGCTATTGAACCACAGTTCTACCTACCCCACAGGGTTGTTGGGATTAGGCAACGCCATCTTGAGCTTCTGGAGGAAATGTAGGATATTACTCAAACTTCAATCAATCAATCAATCAATCAATCTGGCAGAATTCAAGACTAGTCTATCTGTAAGCTTTAATTAAACCTGAGTAGCATAATCTGTTGCTTTCATATATGTTGTATTTTCCCACAGGGTAAAGAAGTCTATTAATAGTTGAATAAGAAATGCAAAGTACTGTATGTAATTTACTCTTATATTTATTGCTTGTGTCACAATGTGTTTTGCCTTCCCTGAGAAAGTGTCTAGAGAGGTCTACAGAGTTGTGTCAACTGAAGAAAAGGGGTTATCATTCATCCGCCATCTGGTAGCAGGACTTATTTTTAATTAGTTATGTCATAAAGGGGAGGTCTAAATAACTGAGTGGAAAGGGAACAACACTGCACACAGGATCAGCAATGCACAATGAAATTATTAGCCCAATGAGCCATGAAATGATGATCCATTCAGTTACATGGGAAGTTAATGACAGCCCACATTCTTAGGCTCAGACATGGCTGACTGAACTTTCTCAGGAAAGCTGAGAAGGTAGCAAGAAGGAATTTGATTTTCTTGCAGGTATCTCCCTCATCCAGCTGCAAAGAAATGTTATACAGTATATATTATACTGTATATATTATACTGTAACACAGAAAGTCAGTGCTAGATGCAGAGTTTGGTTGGGGCATTTTTGGAGGGCAGGGTGGTCTTTTATTTGTCCTTCTTGCTACCTTGCAAGTCTGTCTTCTAGTTCCCATCCATTTCTTCTGACTCATTGTGCCCATCTCTTTACACACATCTTTGTGCCTATATTTCCATCTTTTGCCTCTTATATCTCTGTCTCTCTAGGTGTCAGAGAGAGGAAGTACTAAAAGAGGTAAACAACTTCTTGTATTTTCTGTATTTTGGGGATTGGCTGTATCATCATGACAATTCATTTGTAAAAAGATCAGCCATTTCCTAACAAAATGGCTTACTATGGCAAAACCAGAATTTATTTGAACAGGAATTTAAATTGTTCCACATTTATGTTGGAGATAAATAAATGTACTTTAAAATTTGACTTCAACCACCACAAAATTTAGACTTTTTATATAAAAATTTGATCTTGTTTGTTTTCTTCCAGGTAGTATCATATCAGAGATATTGCAAGGAGGAAATATCATATCACACCACACAAGGAGAGCTAGTTCTAGGAGACTGTCACTCTTTCTCAGTCCCACTCACTTCAGCGTTGTTGTTGTGGGAATATAGGAGGAAGAAAAAGTACTTGATATGTTGCTATGAAGAATAAAAAAAAATTATGTCTATCATTAACTCAAAGAACCAGTCAAACCTTTAATTCACAATAACAGCTTATGAACAATTAATATAGGGTATCAGCTCTTTTTCTCTAAAGTGGTACTACGTGCTTAATTACAGAGTGATTCCTTAGCTTGTCCAAGGTCATCAAAGTCTTTATCTTTCAAGATCCTTCATGTTTCTTTCCATTCTTTTCTTTTTCACTTGAACTTTGCTTTTCTTGCCTCCTTCTTCTCACCTACTTCTATATTCTCTTGGTTTTCCAGCTCCTTTCCTGTGAGAGGGAGGGAGGGAGGGAGAGTTAACTTTATGCTTGCATTGTAATAGAGCAATAACATTCCTATTTATTACATCCATCACATCCATACACTTTCCTTAGTGGGGGGAAATGTGGGAATTAGCATTCTTGAATTCATCCTGTGACATCAAACAGCGAAATTTCCTGACAGTGGGAACAATTAATCAGTGGATCAACAGTGGATCCAGGAGTTGTGGGTGCTCCATCACTAGAGGTTTTTAAGAAGAGACTGGACAACCATTTGTCTGGAATGGCATAGGGTCTCCTGCTCAAGCAGGGATTGGATCTCCAAGGTTGCTTCCTACTCTATTATTCTGTCTTCTGTAAAAGAGCTGCATGAAGGAAGCCTGACTGTCCATTTAATTGTGCTTGGTTTGTTGAAGGAGGAAATGCTTTGCTTGAAAGTTATAAGCCAGTCTGCTGAAACAGATGAGGGATGAGATAGAAATTAGCACCTGTGACATTCTGCAAGTGTTTCTTCTTACATTCCCCACCCAGTTAACAATTATTTGTATAATTCTGTGAATTCAGAATTCTATAGTAGCGGAAAAGAATAGTTGTATTGTATAGATAATCCTTGATTTATGACCAAGTGGGATTAGAACTTCCTTCACTAAGTAATGTGGTAGTTAAGTGAGTTGTGCCCAACCTTTTTTTTGCTGCAGGAAGGTAAAGGTAGAGGGACCTCGCAACCTGAGGATGCTGCAACTGTCATAAATACATTGTGGTTGCCAAGCACCTGAATTTTGATTATACAACAGTGGAGACATTGCAATGGTCATAAGTGCAAGGACGGTTGTAAGTTTTTTTTTTCAACAGCCATAACTTTGTTCATTAAATGAATGGTTATAAGTCAAGATCTACCTAGGGGGAGTGGAGGAGCCCTTGCAGGGTAGAGCTGAGGAATTTTTGCAGTTTCTGTCGGATAAAGTCGCTCAGATTCGGATGGACCTGGACTCTGATTGGGCAATTCTGACCGAGATGACGGGGGCAGGTTTTAGTCCTATTGTGTGGGATGAGTTTGAGCCTGTGACTCCTGAGGAAGTGGACAAGGCTGCAGGGGTGATGAGTTCCTCCACTTGTTTGTTGGACCCGTGCCCCTCCTGGCTGGTCTCGGCCAGCAGGGAGGTGACACGAGGCTGGCTCCAGGCTTTAGTTAACGCGTCCTTGAGAGAGGGGTCCTTCCCGCAACCATTGAAGGAAGCAGTTGTAAGGCCCCTCTTCAAGAAGCCTTCCCTGGATCCAGCAGAATTAAAGAACTTTCGTCCAGTCTCCAACCTACCCTTTGTGGGAAAGGTTGTAGAGAAAGTGGTGGCACTTCAGCTCCTGTGGTCATTGGATGAAACGGATTATCTGGACCCTTTTCAGTCTGGCTTCAGGCCTGCCTACAGCACGGAAACTGCTTTGGTCACACTGATGGATGATCTCTGGCGAGTCCGAGACGGGGGTCATTCCTCCATCTTGATGCTACTTGACCTCTCAGCGGCTTTCGATACCATTGACCATGGTATCCTTCTGGGATGACTAAGGGAGTTGGGAGTGGGAGCAGGGTGGATTTGATTTAAATCGAGTTGATTTAAATCACTAGTAAAAAGGCTTGATTTAAATCAACTCGATTTAAATCATAATTTTTAAAGAGCAACTGTCATCTCTGCTACTCCTTTGACCCACTGTTGACTCACCGATAGTCCCAGTGTTGCAGAATTTACAGCCTCATGCTACATAACTAAGCTCCATTTCATGCTGAATAAACTAAATTATTTATGTATCTTAAATAGAAAACTATCTTACGATAGATTTTTACCACAAAAGTTTATTAAAAAAATTCGATAAAAATCAAAAAAATCCGATTTAAATCAAAAAAATCTGATTTTTTTGATTTTTTTTTTTAAAAAATCATTGATTTTTATCCACCCTGAGTGGGAGGCACCGTGTTACGGTGGTTCTCCTCCTATCTCTCTGGTCGGTCACAGTCGGTGTTGGTAGGAGGACAGAGGTCGACCCCTAGGCCCCTAGTTTGCGGGGTGCCTCAGGGCTCGGTCCTCTCTCCCCTATTTAACATCTACATGAAGCCACTGGGTGAGATCATCCGATGATACGGGGTGAGATATCAGCAGTACGCTGATGATACCCAGCTGTATACCTCTACCCTGCGTCAATTCAGTGATGCAGTGGATGTGATGTGCCGGTGCCTGGAGGCTGTGAGGGTCTGGATGGGAGTCAACAGGCTCAGACTTAACCCAGACAAGACTGAATGGCTGTGGGTATTGCCTCCTAAAGACTATGTTGATTGTCCATCCTTAGTTCGGGGGGGGGGAGAAATTGTCCCTCTCAGAATGGGCTCGCAATTTGGGTGTCCTCCTAGACTCACAGCTAAGATTAGAGCAACATCTGACAGCTGTGGCTAGGGGGACCTTTGCACAAGTTCGCCTGGTGTACCAATTGCGACCCTACTTGGATCAGGAGGCTCTCCTCACAGTCACTCATGTCCTTGTCACCTCACGGTTAGATTATTGCAACGCGCTCTACATGGAGCTACCCTTGAAAAGTGTTCGGACACTACAGTTGGTCCAGAATGCAGCAACGCAAGCTATTGTGGGTGCACCTAGATACACCCACATTACACCAATTCTCCGCGAGCTGCACTGGCTCCCTATTGGTCTCCTGGCAACAGGTTATTACCTTTAAAGCCCTACATGGCTCAGGGCCAGGTTATCTTCGAGACCGCCTTCTACCACATAGCTCCCAGCGACCAGTAAGATCCCACAGAGTTGGTCTCCTCTGGGTCCCGTCAGCTAAACAATGCCGGCTGGCGGGCCCGTGGGGGAGGGCCTTCTCTGTGGCTGCACCAGCTCTCTGGAACCAGTTACCTCCTGAGGTCCAGACCACCCCCACCCTATTGGCCTTCCAAAAAGCGGTGAAGATCTGGCTTTTCCGGCAGGCCTGGGGCCGTTGATCTCGCTGTTGCGATCTTGTGAGATCCGGCCATGAATGGTGTGAATGGGTTTTAATGTTTTAATTTTTAAATGTTTTTATAATAGTTTTTTTTTTTAATGCATTGTAAGCCGCCCTGAGTTTCCGGAGAAAGGCGGCATATAAATTGAACTAATAATAACATTGAATTAATAATACCTGTGAATAATAATTAAACTTACATGCAATGTAAATATTGTAAATACAATAGATAATATATAAATCTATTGTAATCTTATCTAATGATAAGATACACATATATTATACTTACTTCCGTTCTCCTACCTAACTTTTCAATTCAAAGTCTTGTTGGAATTTCAATTCTAAACCCCATCCTAAGGTGCTATTTTATGCTTTCTCCAAAAAATAACTTCAATTAATTCAAGAAAAGGTTTTCTGCAGTCTGAATTATGAATAGGATTTCTTTGCATTTAATACTATCAATTCTCAGTTCTTCAAAATAATCTTTTCCCAATCTAATTGGGATTGTCTGGAACAAATATAAAATTCTAGGCAATATATTCTCTTAATAGTTGATATCCTCCCTATCAATGATAATTGTAAAATCTCCCATTTCGCCAAATCTGTACCAATCTGTTGTTTGAGTTTATTATAGTTATTTTCTTTAAGTGTGCTACATCTTACTGTCAAATATATCCCCAAATATTTCACTTTGTTTGTGACCTGCATCTTTGATATCTCCGTCAATTCTTCTTTTTGTTTTATTAACATATTTTTGGTCAGAATCTTCGTTTTATCTTTGTTAATTTTCAAACTTGCTACTTTTCCATATTCTCCTATTTTATCTATCAAAGTAGTTATTGACACCAATTGATCTTCAAAAATAAAAACCAGGTCATCTGCAAACGCTTGTAGTTTATATTCTTCCTTTCAAATTTTCATTCCTTTTATTTCTTTTTCTTCTCTAATCTTTCTATTTAGCACTTCTAGTGTTAATACAAACAACAGAGGGGACAGTGGACAACCTTGTCTCGTACCTTTTTTTATCTCAATAGTCTCTGTCAATTCTTCATTGATCATTACTTTTGCTGTTTGTTTATAGTATATAGCTTCTATTGCTTGAATAAATTTTCTACCGAAGCCCATCTGCTCCAGCTGCAATAATATAAATTGCCAATTCACATTATCAAAGGCTTTTTGTGCATCTAGAAATATCAAGGCCATTTCCTTTTCAGGGTGGGCCTCGTAATATTCCAAAGTGTCCAGAACTATTCTCATATTGTCTCTAATCTGTCTCCTTGGCAGAAATCCATTTTGGTCAGTGTATAAAGTTGTTTAAATATCTTTTGAATCTTTCTGCCAATATTGAAGCAAAAAATTTATAGTCTGAATTTAGCAGGGATATAGGTCTATAATTTTTAATTTGTTGTAAATCAGTATTCTTCTTTGGAACAAATGTAATATATGCTTCTGACCATGACTTGGGTATTTTCTTCTTTAACATAACTTCATTCATAACTTCTAACAACGGGAGACTCAATGATTCCTGTAGTGTCTTATAATATTCTGCTGGCAATCTATCCGGGTCTGGCGCCTTCCCATTCTTTTGTTTTTTAATTGCTTCTGTTAATTCCATCATTGTTATGTTTCTTTCTAGCATTTCTTCAGTATCTTTTGAAATCTGAGGTAAATTTGTCTTTTGCAGATATTGTTTAATATTTTCCTCTTCTATATTTTCTTGTTCATACAGTTTTCTATAATAATCTTGTATAATTTCTTTCTTCTCTTTATTCCCAAATCTAATTTGTTCTTGGTCATCCATTAGCTGTGTTATTTTTCTTGATTGTCTTTCTTTTTTCAATTTATATGCTAACCATCTACCTAGTTTATTAGCATCTTCAAAATAATTCTGTTTAGCACTTCTAATTTTTTGTGCTAGATCTTCTTTCTCCATTAATCCCATTTTATGTTTTATTGTATCCATTTTTATTTTAAGGTCTTTCTTTTGTGAGGATTTTTGAAGTTCCTTTACAAATCTATTA